GGAGTTTAGTACTAGAAGGAGAAGGTCTATGAACCCATTGGTGTTCTGAAACCAGAGCAGAGTTCTGGCGTTCCCTAGGACCCCGAACTTCCTTAGAGCCCCGCACCTCCAGTCTACCGGCGCAGCAGCTCCCGGCCTGGGGGTGTCGAGATTTCGGGCAGACCCAGCCATGTCTGTTGGAGAGTCTGTGAGCACATCAAGGCCAAAACTATTCCCACGCTCTAAGGTTTATTGGCCTTCCTGAGAGACCTGCCCAATCATTTATGGCAATCCAAAAATTAAATTAAAGCTTAAAAAAATTATTGCCACTTTCCAGACCTTTTGAGTGAATCTGATCTGGCATAATTCAGCAGGTACTTGGACCTGGCATCAGTGGTCGTTTTCCTCCCAGAATCAGCATTGCTCGTGTTACAAGAGAGCGTGGAAGTGATCCCGGCCTCCTGGAGATGATGGTGCCTCCTGGAGATGCACCCCATCACTTCCTCCTCTGTAGAATAATGCTGGTATAGAAGGTGAATACTAGCAGGCATATTGTGCCGCGTTGCTAATGTATAAAGTGATAAAGACGCTTCCTGCCCCTCATCCTGTGTCCAGCCTGAGGCAGAGGGCACCTCTTACGGCACGTACCAGAGCCAGGCTTTGTTGCTGTTAGGTCTTCCAGCGCTCTCCTTGCGCTTGCACCCTCTCCGTGCAGCCTCTCCTCGCTGCGGGAAGCTGCTTTGGGCAGGACTGGGCTCCACGTGCCTGCCCTTAGCGGCAGCCTCCTGGAAGCCCCTTGCTCCGTGCAGGCAGCGCTGCTTGCGAAGGCACCGCTCAGCGTTGGCGTGCCTGCGCCTCTGCCCACGCTGCTGGGACCTCCCGCGGGGCCAGCGTGGCAGCGGTGGCCGTGCCCTGCTGCCCCGGTCGTTTGCCGTCGCTCGCCTTGGGCTGGGGGCGACGTCTGGGTCACAGCTCTGCGAACGCGCAGCGCTTCCCGCAGGGTGCCCGTGGGCCGGCGTCGGGTGAGGTTTTCTTGGTTTAAGGGTAGGATCAGACGTGTGTGGGACAGTTGTGCTTTTAGTGCTCACCTGGATTCAGACTGTGATGTGGTTTTGCTCTTTGGATGGAGGGCACCTCGGGGGGCTCTTCTGGACATTAGAAAACCCTCGATTTGCCATCCCAGGTCATGCAATGATCTGGGTCTGCCTCGTGACTTGTCAGAGCCTTTAACTGTTTCTGCTACTTCTTCCTGTCAAGCTGTGGGCACTTTGAGGATGCTGCCCCCCTTGCTGCGCTGGGGTGATCCCGACGGCGCGCAGGGTGTTTCCTTACCTCTGTGCCAGCCGTTTTGCTGAATCTGTGGCAGAGCCCAGAGCGGCCCACAACTGCTCCGGGCCGGAGGCTGGGCTGCCCGTGCCTGGGGGGCGACTGGGGCGCAGCTTGCCCAGCACAGCTTGGCATATGCCCATGCCTGGGGGGCGACTGGGGCGCAGCTTGCCCAGCACAGCTTGGCGTATGCCCGTGCGTAAGTGCAATGTCCCGGTGGCGCAAGCGGGGGCTGTGCGGCCCTTACGCCCAGCTGATTCACCCGTGTCCTGCCGCCCCCTCCGAGGCAAACGGTGGGAACCAGCTTTTCCCTACGTGTTGGAGAAGTGTCCCCCTCCCGTCGTGCTGGCGACGGGGGAGCTGGCAGGCGAGGTCCCTGGCTGTGCTGGCGGTCCCTGCGAGGACACCAGAGTCCCTGGAGCAGCCCTTCATAGCTGAGATTTCCGAGCTGCCCGTGAGGAGGCTCCAGCTGGGAAGCAGCTCGGGGGCAAGATCCGGAGGCGGGAAGTGACTCAGTGGCGCTGCGAGCAGGCGGGCGAGGGCTTGATGCAACGCCGGGGTGCTGCAGGCAAGCTGGGTCCGGCTGGGTCACCCTGACGGAACACTTGGCACCCTTCTGGCAAGCGGCCTCTCGCCCCAGCGGAGGATCTGCTTTGACACAGGCGGGGGACGCCGTTCAGCTGTGCCGGGCCCGCAGCCACGCTCGGGGGGTTGGGAGGGGAGCGAGAGGGCGCAGGCAGCGGCAGCGGCACGGGGGCGTGCAGAGGAACCGGCACAGTGCCCCGGGGAGCTGGCCCCCGCCGCCCCGGGGCTGGCCCTGCCAGCCCCGGCCGGGGCACGCGGTGACCTGAGCGGATCCACAGAAGCGGTGTCAGGAAGCGTGGACTGAAACCATTCCCAGCCTCCTGGGAGCAGGCAGCCGGTTTCCCTTTTAGGGTCGGCGGCAGGCAGAAACAATTTCACACGGATTCCAGGACCCATAATGGTTCTGGAGAGCCAACAGGAACAAAAAGCGTTCTTCTCCTCTTCTGACCTTGGAGCGTGTTGAGGACCGTCTTCCAGAGCCTCCTCCCTGGACAGTTTCATCCGTAGATGGGGAACGCTCGTCTGCCCCAGGTCGTGCTTTCCCTTCTGCGTACCTGCTTAGGTGTGAACTGCAGCTGCACAGGCTGTGCCGGGCAAGATGAGAACTGGCAGGACCCTGCCAGGCAGTCAAAGGCAGGGCTATTCCTGTGTCCTGGAAAGATTAAGTGTTTCCCTAGGAATAGCCTTATGGGTTGCTCTAGGATCACTTCATGGAGCAGCTGGTTGTGACCCAACAACAAACTGGTGTGAAGTTACACAGGGTTACGGGCTCGCGATATACATGAGACCTCTTGCTGGAGGAGTTGGTTGTGGCAGGAATCCTCTCAAAAGGCGGGTTAAACTCTTCAGCGACGGCATTTACAGAAAGCCTGGCCCTGGACGGACTGTGCTGCCTCTGTGGCATAACAGGTCCCCAGTTTATAGACACTAAAATTAATGCAATAATCTCCCGGGGCTGTTGCTAAGCCGTCTGCTGCGTTGCTGTGGGCAGTGACACCGGGTGGTGTTAGGTGCATGTTACTCCCTAATTAGAAAGTGGACTCTGCAGCCCGTCCTTGACAAATTGCTGACCTTTCTCATGCGTGAAGCTATTCTGAGCTCTGTTCCAGACTGATCAGATTTGCATCCTGGAGCACTTCAAATGTTGTTTGTGAGGGGAGCTCTTGTTCCCAAAGGGGTTTGTTCCTGGGCACAGGAGGGGAGCTGAGTTTCCTTTCCTCCATGAGCACAACTCTATTTGTCGAAGGGAAAGGGTAGGCAGCTGGCAGGCGTGTATCCGTCGTTTACTTTTGCCCTCGGACAGCCAGCGTGACAGCCGAGAGAACACCCCGCACCCAGCTCCCTCGTCCCCCCGTACGAGGGACCGCCCCAGCAGACCTTGTCCCGCAGAGGCCGCAGCCACCCGCTCACGGGCGAGCAAGCGCTGTCTTTGCCATTGCAATCCCATCATTTTAGGGCAACAGCGTGGTCGGTGTTTGAAGGCGTTGGTTACATCAGCCGGGCACGCAGCTGATGTTTACAGGGCGGTGCAGACTGCAGAGTGTGAGCACGTGCTAATTAGCACGCGTGGTGATTGCCTGTGGTGTGCCTTCTGAAGCTGAGCCCCAGTTAAAGGGGGTTTTTTAATGCATTTTAAAACTCCACCTCTTTTCCTCATCAACGCAGACAATGTCCGGGTTCCTCATTACAATCACAGTAAGAACTGTGGGATTCTGTGCTATTTCTTTTACTCTGTTTCTTTTGTCCCACCTTCCTCTTCTCCATGAACTTGGTCTCCAGCAGTGCCGTGTCCTCAGGGCTGAAGATGCAGTTTGCTTTGGCGTTGCACAGGGCTCTGACGCCCCTGCCCAGCCCTGCGTGCGAGCCCAGAACAAAGAGAGCAAGCAGCTTATCTAGGACAAATAACCCTCAGCAAACTTCCTGGGCCAGTTCTCTATTCTGTGGAAAAGGCTGCGCGGTGTCTGATCCCGTAGCGCTCGCAGCCGCCCGAGCCGCGTGGCGCCCTTGGGACTTGCTCTGCTGGCGGTCCCTGCACCCGCCGGCCCCCCGGCCCCACAGCCTGGGGAGCAGGAGCCCGGCGCTCGCAGCGTGCAGCAGGTGGAGGCAGACTTTGGGGAGAAACGACTCAAAACGGAGGCAAGCACGGCACGCTGCCTTAGGGCCTTCCTTGGTGCATCGTTCTCGGAGGGTTTGTAGGGTTTTTCACTGCCTCTTCTGCGGCTGCCCTGTGTGGAAAGCAGCACTGAGCTCTGACCGTGCCACAGCCCTGGAGCTGGTGCTCGCACCCCGTCGCTCTCCCGCGGTTTGGTGGCTGGCACTGGGTGCTGAGGGTACGTCTGGGGCCGGGGGACGCTCGGGGAAGCAGCGCCTGCCTTGTCAGGGTGGTTCAGTGGCGCAGGAGCCCTAGCAGTCCTTGGAGGGTTTATCCTGCCCTCCCCCTGCCCCAGCGGCACAGGGAGATGCTGTCCCTTGTTTTGAGTTTGAAGACTGGGGCTTATAGGGGGGACGGCATCTGGGTCAGGCACAGCAGAACTCGGGAGGCCAAGTCTGTGACACTGGTAGAACCCCAGGCGTCTCCCATCAAGTTGTTTTCCCTTTCCTTGCATTTTCTGGTGCCCTCTGACCCTGCGTTACAGGACCAGAGATAAAGCGCAGCCCATTGAGCAAACATGACAGCTCCCTGCTCCGGCAGCACTGCAGCTCCCAGGGCAGGAGAGCTCGTCAGAGGCCCTTTTATTGCAGGCACACCTTGGAAAGTTCCCTTCGGCAGGGCTGGGAGAAGGAGGAGGGATATTAATTTGATTTTCATTCTTTGCCAAAGAGAAAGGTCCCAGGTGGCTCCAGGGAGCGAAGGCCAAGTGGGGCAGCGGAGGAAGAGGCGGCGGGCGAAAGCAGAGCGGACATGTGTGGGGTACGGGGGGGCGTGGGAGCTGCTGCCCGGCCGGGTGAGCACCTCGAGGGGTGCCCC